GCCCTGGCTGTGGCTCTGCCCGGCCAGCCCATGGGCCAGGCCCGGCCACCAGCTTCCCAGCAGTCTGGCCCAGGAGTCCCATGAAAGCCTCCTTTCAGAGCTCCGCTTTGGGCTCCTGGGGGGCCTGGGACAAAGACGCCTTGTTGGGAGGGCGCAGAGACCCCACTCCCTGGGAGCGCCGTCCCCTGGGGGATCGCTGAGCTCTGGGGGCGCAGGAGGGCAGGGAGGTTGAGCTGAGGGGCCTGGGATCCTGGGGGAGCAGGACTCCTAGGTTTGGAGGGAGCCCGTCGCTGCCTGACCTGTTTTCTCACCCAGAGACACCCTGGTGCTCTCAGTATGAACCCAAGGCCCCTGCCCTGCGGGCTCAGGGTGCTGTGCGCGCTCCTCAAGCCATTTCCAAACGCTTTTGCTTCCTTGAGCCCCTGCGTGTGTTGTATTCCGCTACTCCCTATACTCTTCACAGGCTGCCCTGCTCATCCTGCTCCAAGCCCCCCAAATCCCCGTTCCAGATGGCCTCCAGAGCCCCCTAAACATTTCTCCTTACCCAAGGCTTTGTTTTGTTGTTGCTTTGTTTTTAAACAAGGTCTCAGATGTAGTCCAGGTTGGCCTGGAACTCACCGTGTAGCCAGCAGTGATCCTCCCGTCTCAGCCTCCAGAGTGCTGGGATCACAGGCGTGTGCACCATGCCTGCTCTAACTAGTTGCTCTCAGCTCCTCGAAGAGGGCGGAGCTGCAGGACCAGTGAGAGCTCACAGTGGGGCAGACAGCTGTCCTGAGGTGTCCCGGGAGCACAGCCACAGCGGGGCCAGCTTTATTCCCAAACCGCCCCAGGCCTCCATCCCCTGCCCACAGCTGCAGCGAGAGGCTCCACACCCCTGTGGGGGCACCTCTGTCTTCATGGGCGGGGACCTTGGGAGGGGCAGCAGGATGAATGGGGCCTTTCAAGCGGAGGAGCAGCGGACACAGGTACGCGATGGCACCACCGGGCGCAGGGCCCACGCGGCAGCCTCTCCAGCCCAGGCCCCGGAGACCTCCGGTCCAGATCGAAAGGCCTGTTCCACACCCGTCACCGGCTCAGCTGAGTGCCCGGCTGGGTCCCTGCAGGGAGGGGCAGAGGGGTCACAGTCGGCACCTGTGCCCTAGGGCCCAGCTTCAAGGGCTGGGCAAGCGAGCCAGAGCCCGGGCCCCGGGCGGAAGGGGGTAAGCAGCAGTAACAGGGCCAGTGTCCGCCTGGTCTGACCTGTTGGTGTGTGTGATGTACTGCTCAGGACAGTGCTATGAAATCGGGCCTATGATCAGGTCCCTCTGCAGATGAAGAGACTGAGTCGGAGGGATGAGGGGACAAGCAGCCTCCGAGTCTGCCCGGATCCCTGTCCTGCAACTCGGCAGACCCGACCATCTCCCTGGGGATGCCCGTGGACTTGGGCCTCTGGTGGGAGAGGCTGGTGTGGGCGCCACATGTCCACACTGTGGGCCCACAAGAAACCCGCAGGTCCTCAGCTTCCTGGATCCCAGGAGCCACCACAGAGCCCGTGTCAGTCCTGTGCTGTGAACACCCTCGGCCTCCATCTCTGCACCTAGGAGGCTGAGGCAGGAGGATCGAAAGTTTGAGTTCTAAAAAAAAAAAAAATAGTTTGAGTCCTGCCTGGGCAACTTAATGACACAGCAAGACCCTATCTCAAAATAAAAATTAAAAAATGTTTAAAGGGCTGGAGATGTAGTTCAGTGCAAGGCCCTGGGTTTAGTCCCCAGGGCGGGTGCAGGGGAACACCCTACCCTCTGTACAAATGCTGCCTGCTTGCTATTTCAAAAGGGCAGGAGGGATCAGCCCGGGTCCTCCCTGTTGGCTGCAGACCGAGCCGGACTCTGACCTACAACGGAAGGCGGTGGCCTGTCCTCATGGAGCGCTCTGCAGTCTCACTGGTGGGGACCCCTGGAGCCTCTTGGGGAACTCTGGGGGTCTTCTGAACCCTGCTGAGCTGTGAAGGACATTTGGAAGAAAGAAACTGCGTACTTCAGGGTTCACTGAGTCCAAGCCCTTGTTTTACATTTGGGGAAACTGAGGCCTGTAGAAGGTAAGAGGCCTGCGTTTCCACAGGCAGGTGCTTCCCTCTGGTCCTTGTCTGGCTGGGCATGTGGCCTCAGGCAAGCCCCCAGCCTCAGTCTCCCCATCTGTGCCTGGGGGGACCAGCTTGGATTGCCGCTGGGGCTCTGTGCCGGAGGCCTGGGTGGACACGGGCTGCAGCATGGCCACTGTGGCTTTAAAAGTGCCCAGCCCACCCCAGCGGCAGCCGTGACAGCCGCAGAGCGAGCCTGCAGTGCGTGGGCCACCTGCAGAGCCCTCCACAGCTGGGAAGATTAGTCTTTTCCAGCAGACAACACCCATTACTGCGTTCCAATAGCCATCACTTCCGCTAGGAGAGCTACAGATGAGATATCGATTGCACTGACCCTGCGAGCCCTTTCCCCAGCCTGAGAGTTGTGCAGAGCTGCTCAGTGCCTGGTGTGTGGCCTATGGCTGGCCCCAGTGGTCAAGGCTCCGGCCTCCTCCCTGCAGCTGCAGCCACATGGGGCTCCGGTCCCAATCCAGGCAGCTGACAGGTGGGCTGGCGGAGGCCTGCTCACAGGGGTGACTCTGGCATCTGAGCCTCCAGAGGGGCTGCTGCCTGGATCCCCAGGAGTTACGAGGAGGTTGTGTGTGGGGGGTGCTGACCCAGTCCTTCGGGGCAGTGGGAGGTCTTGGGCCAGAAGGTGACAAGATCTCCACCCTGTGCTGTCCTCTGAGCCTGGGCCCTGGCTGGGTGTACGGCTCCTAAGGGCCAGGCTGTGACTGTTCCTCCCTGTCCCCCTTGGCCTCACCAAAGCCCAGGTGGGAGTCACGATACCTGTGGATTCCCTCAGTGCAGATCACTGGTGAGAGAGAGAGCAGAGGTAGGGTCTCAAGGGTAAGGTCTTTCTTCAAAAGCACAGATCAAGCTTGATGCGGTGGTGCATACCCGTTGTCCCAGCACTCTCAGAGGCTGAGGCAGGAGGATCCCAAGTTTCAGATTCAGCCTGGGCAACCTAAGGGCTCAGCAAGACCCTGCCTCAAAATAAAAACCAAAAAGGGCTGGGGAGGTAGCAAAGCAAACAAAACCCACAGACCATTAACACAGCTAAAATCATTCCTTCAGATTCCTTAAAAGGATTGGCTTTGGGGCCAGGGCTCACCTTTCTAGTGTCTTACAGAAGTCCCTTCTTGAGTCAGGTGCTTGCCTTCGCAGGTAATTCTTCCCTTCTTCATGGAGTCCCACAGGGCAGGGGCCAGCCATGCCCTGAGCACTCCTGAAATAAGAAAGGGACCGTGCATCTACCCCTCACCTGCCTTCACATCCCTTCTATATTTAAAGAGAAAAAAGTATTCTTTGCTTTTAACCCTATGATGGGGGGTTGGTTTTGTTTTGTTTTGTTTTGTTTTTTTGGAGACAGGGTCTCCCTGTGTAGTTCAGGTTGGCCTTGAACTCACTATGGAGAGCCCAGGCTGTCCTCAAACTTGCACAGATCCTCCTGCCTCAGCCTCCCAAGTTCTGGCATGACAGGTGTGCGCCACCACACCTACCTACTTGCTTTGAACTCTGATTTCACTGGTAGTCTCACTATGGCCCTGGGGCCCGCTGGACACTGACAGTGGTCCATGCATATCTTTATATAGCTGGGGGTCGCCCAGCTGAGTAACAGGTCCCAGGACAGCCATATGTGGGTGCTAGCATGTGTATGTGCAATGTGTGTGTGCTCACATGTGCACGAGCAGGCACACACGTGTCGTGTACATGAAGGTGCGTGTCCGTGCATACGTGTGTGTGCTGTGTCCTTGCACAGATGTGCTGTGGTGGGGGGTGTGTACCTGTGTTGTACCCGCACACAAAACAACCCCATTCCCTGCCTTGCAATTTCTTAGCCACTTTTCTCGTCACTGGGACAAAATACTACCTGACACAGACAATTTAGAGGAGGAGAGATTTACTCTGACTCACGTTTGCAGTCCATAGTTGGCTGGCTCCAAGGCAGGAAGTCTTGGCGGAAGGGTCTGGGCAAAGGGACAGCGGCTCACCTGATGGAAGCCGAGAAGGGAGCCAGAGCCCTCCGGGCCACGCCCCCAGCGACCCAGACCCTGCCCCTAGGAGCAAGTCAGCCAATCCAGGCCAGGGTGCAATCACTGTCCAGTCCCCCGGTGAGGCCTGGGGGCGGGGCGCAGAACCCTTCCAGAGCTGCAGGAGGGGCTGGGAGGAGGAGGGCTCGGCGGGCTGGTGGCCAGGACGCGGCCCTGGAGGTCAGGAAAGTCACTTCCATCCTCTCAAGAAAGTCTTTAGAAAGCCCGGCACCCACTCCCCTTTGTGTGACCTTGAGCCAGTTGCTTGACCTCTCTGTGCTTCAGTTCCTCTTTGTAAAAACTGTTTTTGAGCCCACACAGTATCACACGCCGGTAGTCCTAGCCCCTCAGGAAGCCGAGGCAGGAGGAGCAAGGAAGCCAGAAGTTGGAGGCAGCCCGGGCATCAATGGGAGACCATGCCACGAGTGGAAAACAAACAGGAAATTTTGAAAGCACACAGAAACAGAATATCACAACAATCACACGTTCATTGATTGCCAAACCAATCGGCGCACACCACACACCACTTCCCCCTCTTCTGTGGTTTCAAAGCAAACACAAATACACCTGACCCATCTGCACACACTCCTGTTGTCAGGGTTTGCAAGGGAATAGATTTAATACAGGACACGTAATCGACAGGGTTACTTTATAATATTCACCGGAAAAATCAATCTCAGAGGAGCACAAGAGATCTGTCCGTAAACTGGAGACCCGAAGCCTCCACCCGAGGGCCTGGGTCCCACAGCAGCGACCCAGGGCGATGTCCGCACCGGGAAGCCCCAAAGGCCCATGGTGGCAGCGAGAAAGTCTGTGCCGCCAGGCTGAGCCAGCTGCACCGGGGCCAGGAAGCAACGTTTAAGGCAAAGACCAGCGCTCCCCTGACCGGAACAGCAGCAAGGACCTGAGCGCCTCCTCCGACAGAGAGGGGAGGCCGAGGTTGCCTCAGGAAAACCATCCACCTTAAGCTTCTCCAGGAAAATCAGCAGCCCCAGATCCCCGCTCCAGTTCCCTTTATGCCGTTGGCAACCATCCCAGGTGGGTCTTCCACACCCGGCCAGGCCGGCTCATTTCAGCCTGGCGTTCCAAGGTGACCCTTCATGAATCCACTGAAACTTCCACTTGAAACTTCTCTCAAGGGCAAGAAGTTTTCCTTTAAAAACAAAATGAGCAGGGCGTGGTGGTGCACACCTGTCATCCCAACACTCGGGAGGCTGAGGCAGGAGGATCGCTGTGAGTTCCAGACCAGCTTGGGCTACACAGTGAGTTCCAGGTCAGTCTCAAAAACAAAACAAAAAACAAAGACAAGGTTGGGCATGGTGGTGCACACCTATAATCCCAACGCTCTGGGAAGCTGAGGCAGAAGGATGCCAAGTTCCAGCCCAGCCTGGTAATTTAGTGAGACCCTGCCTCAAAATAAAAATTCAGAAAGGGCTGGGGATGGAGCTCATTGAGAAATCCCAGGTAGGAGGGTGGGGACCGGTCTTCAGCAAGGATCCCCCCACCCTACAGTTCCACACCCTTCCTGCCAAGACCATGAGATCAAATCTTCAACCTTCAGGGAATCGGCCCAAGTCTTGTTTTATTTTATTTTGTCAGCCTTGGGCCCTCAGCTCACGGTTTTTAATAGCTGATGATTCTTTACTTCGATTTCCCATTCACTCTTTTGCATTTTATTCTCTCCTCAAATTTTACTTGAATTGTCTATAGTTGTGGTTTAAACACTGTTTCGTTTTGTTTTTTTCTCTTTTCCTTTTGCAGTCCTGGAGATTGAACCCAGTGCCTTCACACTGGGCTACATCCCCATCCTTTTATGCTTTTTATTTTGAGCTAGATTCTTACTAAATCAACAACTTGCTCAAGCTGGCCTGAAACTTGCGATCCTCCTGCCTCAGCCTCCCAGATTGCTGGGATCACAGGTATGTACCCCTTTGCCCGGCTGAGGTTGAAAGTGTTACGAAACATTCAATCACACACCACCACCCTGAAACCCAACATGGACCTAATTACAAGGAACACTGTCTAATTTTCTGTGAGAGAATTCTTCCTAATAATGATGATTACTGTGTAATTATTCCCACATATATTGCAAATGTGGATAAAGAATTATGAAATGCAAAAATAGAATGGTACGGTGAAGCTCTCTCCTCATGAGACAGAAGGGGGTCAATCGAGTCATGCTTACAGCAGCAGTGCCTTCTACTCTGGGGGAAGAAGCTGGATTTTCTGGCATGGCACAGAAAAGGGGACCCCATCCAAATGCTACAGCGCCCCGTCTCTTCTCTTGCTCCGTCCACCACACAGTGCCACCGGGGGTCTTTTCAAAACCTAGGTCAAATCTTGTCTCTTTTTTTCTTTTTTGAGGTCTCCCTGTGTTGCCCAGGCTGGCTTGGTACTCACAGAGCTCCTCCTGCCTCAGCCTCCTGAGTGCTGGGAAGACAGGTAAGCACCACCACGCCCAGCTCTGTCTCTTTCTTTGGACCATGCTGCGTCTCCCAGAAGGAAGTTCCACACCTGGCCTGGTGGGACCTGTGGTCTAACCCCTTAACACCCTCTGCTGTACCCTGGACACACCCATCATGAAAGACTTCACCTTGGTCCCTCAGATAGGCAGAGATATTCTTCTCCAGGACCTTTGCATGGCTGCTACTTACCTGCTCCAGACACTCAGACCCAGGCTTTGTGAACACAGCTCAGGTCCCCCGCCTGCCCTCTGGTCCCCATGTGTTATTTCTTTAGGTACAGAGGGTCCTGCGGAGTCACCCTCCATACCTTTGTGATGCGCGCATGGCAGTCCCACCCTGACTCCACTAGAAGTCAGCTCCAGGAGGGTGGGGACCTGGCCTTGACTGCTTCCTGCAGTCTCCCTGAGAGGCAGTGGCTGGTCTGCATGGTCGGCTCCCGAGGTGTCTGCCATGGGGAGCCACGCAGGAGCCCACAGCTTAGGCTATGTCTGCACCCGGCCTGCCTGTGGAGCCAGGAGTTCCCTGCTTCTTCCAAATTCTCCCTTAACAGCACAGGGCCAAGTATTTTCCCTCCTAGGTAAATGACAGCCTCGGCTTGGTTCTCCCCAAAGCCACCTCAGACCCAGGTAGTGCATTTGGGACGTGGGAGGCATCTTCACAGCTGCTGAGCACTAGGTAGAAACTCGCTCCTCCAGCAGATATTTGTCGGGCACCCGCTATGGTTTCAGCCTCTAGGACCGCTCTGTGGACAAGGCATCTGGTCCTGCTCACAGGGACCTCCCTGTCTCTCAGGAGAGACACTGGACAATGCCCAGCAGGCGCCACGAATCACTAGACAGGCAGAGTACGTCAAAGCTGTGTCCCCCCGACCCCCGTGTTAGAGGCTGCAGCAGGGTGAGAGGGAAAGAGAAAAGAGGCCGTAGGAAGCCGGATAAGGACGGGGCTGGCAGGCCAGAGCACACAGCCCAAACACTGCATTTCAAAAGCCTCTTGAGCCTACAGGTTAGTAGTCTAGGCTGCTCTTTTGCTGGGACCATTCAGGCGGTGGCTGCTGTCCTGGGGTTCAGCCAGCGCTCAGGGTTTCCACATGGTCCCACCTTCACGTCTGCTCATTGGTATCGGCTGCAGTAAGAGCTTTGGGTTTGGCCGGGGATGTAGCTCAGTGGCACCGTGCCTGCCTTGCAAGCTTAAAGTCCTGAGTTCGATCCCCGGTACCAAAAGAAAAAAAAAAAGAAAGAACTTTGGGACTTTGGGTTTCACCAGAGCAAGATGGCAGCTAACGACGGGGAGGGGTGCAGGTTCACGAAGGATGAGAAATTGGGGGACTCAGGTTGATGAGATACCCAGTGACCTCAGGCTGGGACAGCCAAGGCGCACTCGGGTTATACCACTGTTACACTGAAAAATCTCACCTTCCGATTCTGTCTAACACAGAGGTACAGAATCACACGCCCATCCCGAACAACAGAAAACCAGACAAAACCCAGGGAACAAATAATTTCCCACATTCAGACGCGGGCGGCACAGGCCTGTGCTTCTGGGCACTGGAGTCTGAGGTGGGTGCCAGGGTCCTCGGGGGTAGAGGAAAACCCCAATCCGAGAAGCTGTGGGCTAAACACAGATCATCCCTGCGAGTCTCGCGCTGCCATTGCAGTGGGGTCAGGACACGGGGCATCTGGGGTGCTCGGGTCACTCGGTGGGGCTCGTGCCTTTCTCGGAGGAGTGGGTTAGTTACCGGCAGAGCGGGCTGTGACAGGCCCAGGCAGACTGGTCACGGCCATTTGCGTTTTGTATTTGATTTTATTTTTGCCGTGAATTGAGACAGCACGTGGCTCTTGTCGTGCTCTTATACTTTCCAACCTCCAGGACCTTGAACCACAATAAGCTTCTTTCTTTTACAAATCCCCCGGGCTCAGGCATTCTGTTATAGCAACAGAACACAGTCTCGGACTCAAGGAGAGAAAAGTTACTGAAGATCGCAGACAGGACCAAGACTTGCCGGAGTTTCCTCTAATGAGGGACCATCCTCTCACTGAACAGTATCATTAACTGGGAACCACAGAAGCACCACGCCTTGCAGGTAAAGTTAAAATTAGTTCTAGAATGAAAACCAGGCTGCTCTAAAAGGATTTAAAAGTAAACCTTGAAGAGATTAAGCTAATCTGCAAGTGATTGAACCAAAAAAAAAAAAAAATTAAAAAAACTTTGAGGGAATACAAGAAAATTTAGCACTTGACAATGTATTATTTTTTCTTTTGGAGACACGGTTACACTCTGAGGCCGGCCTCAGACTTGCAGAGATCCTCCTGCCTCAGCCTCATGAGTTCACTGTGAGTTCAAGACCAGCCTGGGCTACCCAGTGAGTGCCAGGTCAGTCTCACCTACATAGTGAGACCCTGTCTCAAAGGGAAAAAAAATTACAGTGCTTAGCATGCAATAAAAAGAAGGAAATATGTGAGGTGTAGTTGAAACACATGGTGAATATTGAAATTTTAAAATTATTGCAGTAAGACTCATTGCTCTGCGCCACCCTCAAAATACTCTGCCTCACATCAGATTTGTCCTATGGTTGCCACTTCCCACAGCAGCTCTGGAGTCTCCCGAGTTTGTTTGTTTGTTTTTATTGTGGGTACCAGGGATCGAACTCAGGACTTTGCTTTCGCAAGGCAGCCATAGGGCCCCTGAGCTAAATCCCGGGCCCATTTCTGAGGGTCTTTAGCCGCCCTGTCGTCGTTGCCTGTGTACTGCACCAGTTCAAAGCATTTCTGTTTCATCGATATTTTGACTTAGGAGAAGAGCCGGAAGTCACACAGGGCCAGATCCACTGAATAAGGTGGATGAGGACGCAGTCATTTAAAAGGAGCCTGCACCTCCGTTAGCTGACACTGCTGCGTTCACCGGATTTTTGATCATGCATAATAAAGACACTCAGGAAAGGAAACTTCCAGAACTGCTTCAGAAAGTGGCCAGAACAATGGGGTAACTGTGTTTACAGCAAGGTGTATTAATGGCAATGTGTCGTTACTCGAATGTATCTTTTAAATGTACACATTCACCACATATTTCTATCACACCTCATATACAGTAGTAGAAAATGTGACTCATTGACAGGAGAAAATTCAGTCAAAAGGAACACACCACTAAGTGACAGAGAGGATGGAATTAACAGAGAGGGACGTAAAAGTAGCCATCATAAATACGCTCCAGGGCCGGGGACTTGGCTCAGGGGTTCCACCGCCTGCCTCACAAGTGCAAGGACCTGAGTTCGATCCTCAGTACCAAAAGTAGAACAACAAAAACAAAACAAAAATGCTCCACTGTCTGGGAGGTAAAGGAAAACATAACCATGTTAGAAGTGACTCTATCAACGAAGAGTATCTGAAATCAGTAATGATGCGGTGGGATTAAGGGCGCCTTCCATAGTGTAGAAGGGAAAGATCAGTAACCCTGAAGGCACAGAACGGCTGTCATGTAAATGAAGCTCCGAGAGGAACAAAAGAGGGTGGAGCAGGGAAGAGGAGGAGCCGGCAGGAACCCAGCTTCAGGGGCCCACAGACGATTTAAGTGGCCCACAAGCACGCAATTAGGGCGCCAGAAAGGGAGAAGGGAGACAACCCAATGGCAGAGCAAAAGCCCCAAATATTTCAAATTTGATTTCTTTTTTTTTTTTTTCGGTTTTTTGAGACAGGGTGTCTCACTATGTAGTTGAGACTGACCTGGAACTCACTGTGTGGCCCAGGCTGGTCTCGAACTCCCAGCGATTCTCCTGCCTCAGCCTCCTGCCTCAGTGCTGGGATCACCCATTGATTTTTGACAAAGATGCTAGGGTAATTTAATAAGCAGAAGATAGTTTTTATTTATTTATTTTTAAACATTCACCGATTTAACTGTCAGGTGCTATTTCCAAGGCAAGACATTTCTTAGGGCTACTCAAGGTGTTAACACTTCAGCACTAGTGTTTCATTTTGGAACACCCATAACAATGGAACATAATAAAGTTTTTCTCTTCAAATTCTTGTTCCTTGAATTTTTCTAGGTAACATATACGAATTTAATGCAAAAATAAAAAAAGGGAAATCTTTGGCATAAATGGGTTAAAGACATTCTTTCTAAAATATTTCCTATTAAAACCCAAAACACAATAGTGAAAAGTCATTCGTGAACTTTACAACATCAACTCTAAGTCATGGACTGATAACAACAGAAGCGGCAGATAACACATTATCGTAATTACATCGCCATCTTCCCAAGTCACGGGAGCCTCACATGCGAGAACTTTGTCTTGCTCAACTTTACAGGCCCTGCTCCTAAGCGACAGTAGGAGGTTCCTGTTCGTTGACTAAATTATGAAGGGAATGGATCAACTGGACTCCCCAGCTGAAAATCCTATGTGGATAGAAAAATGCAAATTTCATCGACACACACACACCAATCAAGAGGACTTAAATTGGAGCGGACTGCCAGGGGGCACCCTGACCTGAAGAAAGTGCGGAGCGCCCTCGAAGGGTGACATTTAACCTGAGCTGAAACGACCTTTCGGGGTTGCGGGGGGTGGGCAGCAAGGAGTGGAGGGGTGGAGGTGGCCCGGCCCCTCGGAGTCTCCCCTGGGTGTCACCCTCCCAACTCTACATGCACAACTCCCAGCTTCCCGCCTCACTTACTGCTAGAAAGGGCCCTTGGAGGCTGCAGCCACCGCACCAGGGCAGCCCAGCACCAAGGAAAGCTCTTGAAGGCTGACTGCAGATATCAGGCTCAAGGGCCTCCTGCTTTCGGTGCAGCTGCACCCAGGGACCCAGGCCCTGTCACCTCAGCAGGCACCGGCACCAACAGCACCGGTAGAACAATTCCATGGCCTCTGGCAGCTCTGGCCTGCAGAAGCAGCATCAGAAGATAGTTTTTTAATGAGTGGTGTGGAAGTGCTAAAGCATCAGTATAAAACGTTCAGAAATATAGGCAGGGTGTGGTGGCACACACCTGTCATCCCAGCACTTAGTAGGCTGAGGCAGGAGGATCGCTGTGAGTTCGAGACCCTGTCTCAGAAAACAAACAAAACAAAAACAAAAGACAAAATGTTTAAAAGAATGAAGTAAAAGATTAAATCTCAAGTTTGACTTTGTTTTTTTTTTCCAAATTTGACTTTTAATCACAACTAACCACAGAATCTACTTAAAATAGAGCAAGGACCTAACTATTCACACTATGAAGTGTTTTCAGAAAAATAAAAACAGAAGGTGTCTAGCACTCAGACCTGCAGGGTAAGAAGTATTTGTAAAAGTTCTCTAGTGAAGGAAATGGTGTAGATAGACGCCCCCCTCAGGCAGGATCTCCCTTCAGGCTGGCCTTGAACTTACTGTGCAGCCCAGGCTGACCTTGAAATCACAGTGATCCTCCTGCTTCAGCCTCCAGAGTGCTGGGATTACAAGCATGCACCACCACACCCAGCCTGAAACTTTTATCTACACAACAAAATGAAAAGCACCAGACATGGAGATAGAGAGATGAATATAAAACATTCTTATTTTTAATCTCTAAAAAATAGTATTTAACTAAAGCAAAAAGGAACAGATACATATTCTTTTTTTTTCCTTTGGTTTGGTTTGGTACTGGGCATCAAATCCAGGCATTGAGCATGTTAAGTCCCTCTGAGCTACATCCCCGGTCTGCAGGGTTTTATGGAAGGTAAAAGCACAAAGTGAAATGTTCTACCTGGGCATCATGGCCTGTCATCCCAGCACTCAAGAAAGAGGCTGAAGCAGGAGGGTTGCTGTGAGTTCAAAGCTAGTTTGGGTCTACAGCCATTACCACCTTGAACCAGCCTGATCTTGTCAAGGCCAGTGTGGGCAACAGTTCAAGGCCAGCCTGAACTATATAGCAAGACCCTGTCTCAAAAAACAAATTTAGAACATTAAAGAAACTAAATCTAGAAATGGGAAAAAAGTAAGTTAGGGAATATCAGTGTGACAGAATATTATGTAGCCATTAAAGATATTTATGGAGATCTATTTTTAATGGTGCAGATAAGCATATATGAATAAATTTTGGGGGGTACCGGAAATTGAACTCAGGACCTTGCCTTTGCCAGGCAGGTGCAGCACCACTGAGCTAAATCCCCTGAATAGTTAAATTTTTAAAGCAGGGTACAAAGCGTATAAAGTAAAAGTATGTGGGGCCGGGGATGTAGCTCAGTGGTTCTGTTGCCTGCCTCACAAGCGCAAGGTCCGGAGTTCGATCCCTGGAACTGAAAAAATAAAATAAAAGTATGTGAAGTACAGAGTATATATTCATGTACTATAAAATATGAAATACTGGTGTTGAGGTGGTTCAGTGCTATGTGTCTACCATGTATGAGTAGTTTAAACCTAAATAATTGAAAAATGTTACAAGCAATTTACAAAATGTAAGCACTATTCGTAACTAGGCGGTAAAATGACGGGCAAATTGCTTTTAAAGTTTTATTGCTTTTTTGTTTGTTTTTTTTGAAACACGGTCTATGAAGTCAGGCTGGCCTTATACTCACGGCAATCTTCCTGCCTCAGCCTCCCAAGTGTTGGGATTACAGGCGCGCACCAAGCTCAGCTTATTGTTGTTTTTAAGAAGGATGCATCTTATCACCCTGCCTAGAGACACAAACACACAAAATCTGGTGGTCAGCCAGGCCAGCGCTCAATCCCTGCTGAGCTGAGTGGCCCTTTTGCAAGTCAGTTTGGCTGAACCAGTTGCCTCCTCTCCGAAGTGGAGATAAACGTGTACACGTGACGGGGTTGTTTTGAAAATTAAGAGGTAACGTGAATACTGTATGTACAGCGAAGTGTGTGGCGTAAACATTCATGGAGTTATTCATTATTACTGTAGGCATTTTAAGCAGAGGAAAAGAAATTTTAGAAGCAGAACTTCTTTTAAAGGAAATCCCAGTGGACGCCGGCCCTGGTGGGAGCCCCTGAAGTCAGGCTCCAATCCAGGTGAGCCCAGAGCAACCTATCATCAAGTCTTTCCTGGTAAGGCGCTGTTGGGTGCAAGGGGCAGAACCTCCCACCAAGCTTGAGTCCTAACTTGCTATGAGAGCACCAGGTCTCAGGGGATCCAGGGCAAGCTGTGGCCATTAGCTTTCATGAGGTACCGGGATGGTAGAAGAGACTAAACACAAGACTCACCGCGCGCCCCAGCATCCTTTCCAGGCTCATGGCAGACATGGTGCCTACACCGACTTGTCTTCACTTCTGGCCCGGAAGAGGTCTGGTTCCTGGGGGTGAGGTCTCATTGGCCCAGCTCAGGTCAGGTGTCCACCCACGGCCCAATCAGATCTGACTGAGGGGGCAGGGTCACAGTACAAACATGGCTGCTCTGGGCCCTGGCCTTTGAAATGACTCTGTAGAAATCACGTGTGCCAGGCCCCACACAACACATGCTAAATTCTGTGCCTGCTCTTTTCTTCTCTTTGCCCAGTCTTCTCTTACTGGAGGTTCTCCAACCCCACGATTTAGACAGCTTTAAGCCACTCTTACGCTCCTTAGCTCTGAGGTTGAACTATGATAGGGTCGGCCCTGACCACCATATCTAGGCGTCCCCAGTGGGCCCTGGGTAAAGGCAACCCCCAGGGAAATGGTTATGGGTGTGACATTCTTCCAAGCATGTCACCTGACTTAGGCATATAGACACTGGTGGTGACAAAATCCCAGACTGCGGGGCTGGGGTCTGCCCAAGGTGGGCACTTGTGCATTCTGAGATTTTGCCAGTAGAAAGAGGGCAGGTTCTCCCAGAGAAATGAATTCTTTGGAACATGGTGGCCTTAAATCAGAACACACAAAAGTTGGGCTAAGAAAAACGCGAATGAACAAACACGTACACACATCTCTGTAGAAATCTAAAAACAAAAGACTTGTGTACCTTTCTTTTAATTGTCATTTTAGAGCTCCCCACTGTGGCCACCCCACCTCCAATGACTTTTGCAGGCTATGGGGACCATGGAACAAAGCTGGGGTGGGCCCGGCAGTCCCACCACACTGCCAGGTGTGTAGGGGGGAACAAGTCACAATTACAAATTATCACAACTTGCGCCTGTGCTGGGCAGCTCTGCAGCGTGTGGAGGCCGAGGCATCCCTTTGTCAGGCGGTCTGCTTGGCGGTGACCTTGCTCTGGAGCCGATGATACTCCTTCAGCCTGGAAACCAGATTCAAGACAAAGGAAAATGTA